GCAGCAGCTCGCAGCCCTTGAGGCGGATGAGTGAAATCCAGCCCCCACCCATCAACCGCAACCTTAAACCAGATCGAAAAGGTGAAGACTTGGATGGGTGGGTGGGTGGGTGAGCGGATGGATGGATGGATGGATGGATGGATGGATGCTTGAAAAGATGAATGGATGGATGAAGGAATGAATGAAAAGAAGGATAGGTGGGTGGGTGGATGGATGGATGGATGAAAAGAAGAATGATTGGGTGAACGGACGGACAGACGGATGGATGGACGGACGGACGGGCGGGCAGGTGGGTGGGTGGGTGGGTGAGTGGATGCTGGAAAAGATGAATGGATGGATGAATGAATGAAAAGAAGGATGAGTGGGTGGGTGGATGGATGGATGGATGGATGGATGGATGGATGGATGGATGGATGATGAAAAGAAGGATGAGTGGGTGGATGGATGGATGAATGGATGGATGCTCGAAAAGATGGATGGATGGATGAAGGAATGAATGAGAAGAAGGATAGGTGGGTGGGTGGATGGATGGATGGATGGATGGATGGATGAAAAGAAGAATGATTGGGTGAACGGACGGACAGACGGATGGATGGACGGACGGACGGATGGGTGGGTGGGTGGGTGGGTGAGTGGATGCTGGGAAAGATGAATGGATGGATGAATGGATGAATGAAAAGAAGGGTGGGTGGGTGGGTGGATGGATGGATGGATGGATGGATGAAAAGAAGGATGGATGGATGATGAAAAGAAGGATGAGTGGATGGATGGATGGATGGATGGATGGATGGATGGATGGATGGTGGAAAAGATGGGTGGGTGGGTGGATGAAAAGATGGATGGGTAGATGGATGGATGGATGGTGGAAGAGATGGATGGATGATTGAAGGAAGGATGGAGTGATGGATGGATGGATGGATGGATGGATGGATGGATGGATGGATGGATGGATGGTGGAAAAGATGGGTGGGTGGGTGGATGAAAAGATGGATGGGTAGATGGATGGATGGATGATGAGTGGATGGATGGATGGTGGAAGAGATGGATGGATGATTGAAGGAAGGATGAAGTGATGGGTGGATGGATGGATAATGAAAAGAAAGACTGATGGGTGGAGGATAGATGGCTGGATGGTTGAAGGGATGGAGGGATGGTAGGATGCTTTTAATAATTTCAGCTCAACGGAGCCTTAAGCAGCTCTCCAGCCTAACTGGGATTCACTTTCTCCTCCAGCAAAACCGACCCCACTTGACCTCAGGGGCAATTCAGTCATCGATGAACTGCCCTTTAAATCGCCAGTCACAAAATCATGGTCTAGACCCGGGTGAGTATAACACTGCATTGTTTTTTAAAGAGTCAATTTTGGTTTAATCATGATTTCTGGAACTCAGGCGATGGTGAGTTCTAGTCCCGCCTTAGACCTGAAAGGCAGCTGGGTGACTTTGGGCCAACCACCAGGAGACGGTGAGTTCTAGTCCCACCAAGCTATTCTCCAAAGCACCTGAGGGCAGGACAAGAAGCAATGGGTGGAAACTAATCAAGGAGAGAAGCAACTTAGAACTAAGGAGAAATTTCCTGACAGTTGGAACAATTAATCAGTGGAATACCTTGCCTGCAGAAGTTGTGAATGCTCCAACACTGGGAGTTTTTAAGAAGATGTTGGGTAACCATTTGTCTGAAGTGGTGTAGTGTTTCCTGCCTAAGCAGGGGGTTGGACTAGAAGACCTCCAAGGTCCCTTCCAACTCTGTTATTCTAAGATGCTTTGTACAGATAGTATGAGGTTTAGAGGTGGCCTAATCCTGCAACTCCTTAAATGGAGTGAATCTTTTTCCTGGGATTGTGCTGTAGCAGCGAAGAGCAACGGCACAATTCTGGGAATATACACCGCTGTTTAAGAATATGGGGCCTGGATCTGCCAGATTCTCCAAAGCACTTTCGGGTCAAAGCATCTCTTCCCCTTAGTGCTAAAACAGCCCCTCACCCTTCTAATACAGACAGCCTCACTCCCCTGGGGCTGAGCTAACCGTCCACCCATTAACAGTTGAATGGAGCTGTCTGTTAGGCTGCAGACAATTTGTCATGCCCTAATTCAGATTATAATTCATTGTCTGGGAGGAGAAAAGCTGGGTTTGTCTCTGGGTGAGGTCACCGTTGCTGAATCACCCGCTGTCCACCAGCTCAGACATTGTACTAAGCCCAGAATTCGCAAACCGCAGGGGTTGAGTTGACACCCACCCAATCCTCATCTATAGCGTGGTATAAAATCAGAAGCCGGCCATAGTTTTAAAAGACAGAATAACGGAGTTATTGGAAGGGACCTTGGAGGTCTTCTAGTCCAACCCCCTGCTCAGGCAGGACACCCTACACCAGTGATGGCAAACCTTTTCGCCGTTGCGTGCCAAAAGTGGAAGGAGTGCAGGGGCGGGGGTCGTGTGTGCGCATGCACATGCCCATACCCATAATGAAATGCCCCCCGTGCGCTCCGACCTCCCACGCTGCCCCGACCCCTGCGCATTCATGCATGACCCCCCCTGCACCCCTCGCACATGCTGTTCTTCTGTTTTAAAACCTAGCAAAAACCTTTTGGTTTTTTTTTATTGTCTCTTTTGAATGATATGTAGCTGTTGTTCATCTCAATGTGCCTGTAGATGGCCGATTTGTCTGAGTGCCAGGTTTCCAGGAATTCTCTAGCGTTTTCAGACTCTAGAAGACCTCCAAGGTCCCTTCTGTTAGAAATTCTGTAGGGCTATATACAGAATTTCTAACAGGTTATGGGCCCAGTCATAGCAGACTAGCAAATAGGTGCAAGATACAGCAACAAAAAGACGACTGCGACAGAATAAACGAAAATGGCCAGTAACACAGCTACTGTCAGCGTCCCAGCACTGACATATATAAGGAGAGGAGACGCTTGAACTTTTGCCTACTTAATTCCTTTGAAGATTCTGTCTCCTCGGAGATGGGAGGAGGGGGACATTCCTGTGATCTGACAGAGGAAGGATGAGGAAAGTGGTTTGGAAGATAGCCAACGAGACGCAGAGAATTGGGGATCGGAAAGGGAGGGATTGGGGGCAAAGGTCAGTACTGACCGCGCAAGAGCCAGGGACAGATCACTATGCTCAATAAAGAGAAAATTTCCTTAAAGATCGGCAGTTTGGAAATTCCTTTATTTTGAGATAGCATCGAAACCTGACAGACGGTCAGCTGTTGTAGGACAGCTACAACAATGCTTTTATTTGCAAATCTGATAACCCAGAGATTCTGGTTCTACTTAGTACTGCTGCAGTTGTTGTATAAAATACACAAACACTGTGTGCCAACCCCTCCTAACCAGAGGTAGGTTTCTAGCAGGTTCTGACCAGTTCTGGAGAACCGGTTGCGGAATTTTTGAGTAGTTCGGAGAACCGGTAGTAAGAATTCTGACTGGCCCCGCCCCCATCTATTCTCTGCCTCCCGAGTCCCAGCTGATCGGGAGGAAATGGGGATTTTGCAGCATCCTTCCCCTGCCATGCCCACCAAGCCACGCCCACCAAGCCATGCCACACCTACCAAGCCACGCCCAAAAGAACCGGCAGTAACAAAAATCTGAATCTCACCACTGCTTCTAACTCTTGTTATTCTGACTCCTCATGACTTTTCTTGTGGATGCTCTCATTTCAGCCAGACTTTCAACTCCAACTTTTCTCAATATTGTCGTCCCACCTCAACCCAGAGCATAACCAGCACCGACTCAGGAGATAGTGAAGAAAATTATGTGGCCATGGTAAGTCTTTATGGAAGCTCCTTTCTTCTTTTGGGTTTCTCTCCTCTATCTACTCTGAGAAGGTGGACTCCAAGGAGGGAAGGGAGCGAGGAAGTCGAGGCAACTTATATTGGATATCCTGCGTGCAGAGGTGGGTTTTATATATTTTTATCACCGGTTCACCGTGCACCGAAAATGTGAGTGTGTGCACATCTTCCGTGCATACTCCTGGCCTTCTGTGTATGATCCTGGCCTTCTACACTTGTACTTTCCTCACACACGTGGCTTGCACGCATGCACACGACTTAGAAAATGTAGCACCGGGATGGGTAGGTGGGCCCACTCGCATTCGCCACTACCGGTTCGCCTGAACTGGTCCGAACTGGTTGAATACCATCACTTCCTGTGTGAGTGAATTCTGGGAGTTGAAGTCCAGAAGAGTTAACGTTCCCAAGGTTGGACATTCTCGCTTTTAAGTTCCAGGTCATCTTCAACTTTTGACCGCAACGGAGTCCAACATGTCTGTTGCTAAATGAGGCAGTTCTTAAGTGAGTTTTACGACCTTTCTTTAAGGGAATCACTGCAGTCGTTCAATTAGTAACATGGTCGTTAAGGGAGCCTGGCTTCCCCATTGACTTGGCTTGGCAGGCGTTCGCAAAAGAGGATCGATCGCGTGACTCCCGGGGATGCTGCGACCGTCGTAAATATGAATCGGTTGCCAAGCATCCAAATTTTAATCACGTGACCCATGGGGACACCGCAACGGTTGAAAGTGTAAAAAAACGGTCATAAGTCACTTTTTTTTGACGATTTTTGTAACTTCGGTCACTAAATGAATGGTTGTAAGTTGAAGATTGCCTGCATTTATTCCCAAAGGCTCTTATTTCAAAATTTTGACACAGGACTCAGAGGCCTCAATAACTGAATAAAGAAAATTCTTACCATTCAGATTCTGTAGGCATCTGGAAGTAAACAAGGCAATAGCTTGCATAGAGGCAGTCCTCAACTTACAACCATTTGTTTGGGTGACTGTCCAAAGTTATTTTAAAAAGTGACTTACAAGCAGTGGTGAGTTGCTCCTGGTTTGCACCGGTTCGCAAGAACCGGTAGTAAAAATTTGTAGTAGTTTGGAAAACCGGTAATAACATTGGCTGGCCATGCCCCCGAATCGGTCCCCGGCCCAGTCGCCGCTCGCCCACCTCATCAGAGGCTTTTTTTTTTTAACTTTTAAAAGCATTTTTTCTACAACCTCTTCGGCTGAAAAAATGCTTTTAAAAGTAAAAAAAAAAGCCTCTGATGATCCCGCAGGTCAGCTGGGATCGTCAGAGGCTTCTAAAAGCATTTTTTTCTGCAACCTTTTAAGGTTGTAGAAAAAATGCTTTTAAAAGTAAAGAAAAAAAAAGGTTGGCCACGCCCACCCAGTCACATTACCCCCCACCAAGCCACGCCCACAAAATAAGCCACGCCCACAGGACTAGTAGTAAAAAAAATTAGAACCCACCCCTGCTTACAAGCCCCTGAAAAAAAATGACTTGGGTTGGTTTTTCACCCTTACGATCAACTCCAGCATCCACAGGATCACGTGAGTAAAAATTTGGACGCTCAACAATTGGCCTGTGGTACGTATTATGGGGTGTCATCGGCTTTTGTGAACTTTGACAAGCAAAGTCGAGGGGGAAGCCAGATGTGCTTAAGAACTGTGTTTCTCGCTTAACAACTGCAGTGATTCACTTAACAACTGTGGCGAGAGAGGTCATAAAACGGGTCAGAATTCAACTGCCTTGTTTAAGCAACGGCTCATGTTGGGCTCAGCTGTGGTCGTAAGATGAGGACTACCTATATACGAATGCATCTTTTATATTTTTATACTGAATTTCCACATGAAGGGGCTCTTTTTTTTTTCTTTTTTTTTCTTTTTTTATAGACAAACATACACATACAGACATGAACGTTTAAACAAACTAAACATAAACTAACTATACAATGAAATCAAGTCATAGAGCTTGAACTTTGAAAATAGAGCTACTTCGGTAATTATATATCTATATATCTGTATATATTATCTTTCATCTTATATCAATGTTTATATAACGATATTTCATTTTATTTCCTTATTTTTATATCGTTGGGTGGTATTCCCTTATTTCGTGTCTTTTTTATCTAACCAGTTGTACCATTTTTGCCAAATTAAGTAAAAGTCTGAATCTTCTTTTCCCTGTATTTCTTTGGTCAGTTTATCCATTTCTGCACATTCCATTGTTTTTTGTATTATTTTTTCTTCTGGTGGCGTGTCTTCCAATTTCCACATTTGTGCGAAAACGATTCTAGCAGCAGTTAGGATGTGTATTATCAAGTATTGTGTCTCTTTTTTATAGTCCTTTGTCAGTATTCCTAATAGGTATGTTTCCGGTCTGAGGGGCACTTTTTGGGTGGTGATTTCTTCCAGCTGACTTTGAATTGTTTTCCAAAATTTTTTGACTTTTGGGCATGACCACCACATGTGGTAGTAGGTCCCCTTCTGTACTTTACACTTCCAACAATTCTGATTTGTATTGGGAAACCTGACCTCTTGCAGAAGTAATGGAAGTCAACCTTTTATGCAGATTTTGACTGATTGCTGCTGCTTGACTGATCGTTCCTAATTGTTTTAATTTTAGCAAAACCCAGTTTCTGCGTCTCCCATTCCAAGTGGGAAAAGTAGCCCAGCCCAAAAGAAAAGCAACACAAGCGTCGATTACCTGGCTTTGGACTTCCAGCCGAGCTCACCTGGGCCCCACCGAAAGGTACGATCCAGATTCCGAAATCTTTTCAGCAATGCCAACATGTTGACACGGGACAACAGGCTGAAATGTAATTGAGGGGAAATCCTGAGTGGAAGTTAAGAGAGCCAGTTAGGTCTCATGGTGAAGGCACCAGGCTAGACACCAGGAGACAGCGAGTTCTAGTCCTGTCTTAAATATGGAAAAGATGATTGGCTGACTTTGGGCCAATCACCACGACGGAGTAAGTATTAGTCCCGCCTTAGGCATGAAAGCTGACTGGGTGAGTTTGGGCCAATCACCAGGAGATTGTGAGTTCTAGTCCTGCCTTAGATGTGAAAACTGACTAGATGAGTTTGGGCCAATCACCAGGAGACAGTGAGTTTATTTATTTATTTATTTATTTGTTTAAATTTCTATACCGCCCTTCTCCAAATAGGACTCAGGGCGGTGCACAGCCTAAGTAAAAACAAAGCATACAAAATTTAAAAAACAGTATTAAAATAATTAGATATTCTGGCCGTAAATTAAAACAACCCAATTTAAAACAATTTAAAATTTAGCTCAAGCCAGCCCAGCTAGTTGAAATAAATAAGTTTTCAGGGCCCGACGAAAAATCCGGAGGTCTGTTATTATACGTAACTCCGGGGGAAGGTTATTCCAGAGGGTGGGCGCCGTCACAGAGAAGGCTCTCCCCCTGGGGGTCGCCAGCCGACATTGTCTGGCGGATGGCACCCTGAGGAGGCCCACTCTGTGCGAGCGTACTGGCCGGTGGGAGGCCTGTCTTAGACATGGAAAAAGCGATTGGCTGACTTTGGGCCAATCACCACGACGGAGTAAGTATTAGTCCTGCCTTAGATGTGAAAGCTGACTAGGTGAGTTTGGGCCAATCACCAGGAGATTGTGAGTTCTAGTCCTGCCTTAGGCATGAAAGCTGACTGGGTGAGTTTGGGCCAATCACCAGGAGACGGTGAGTTCTAGTCCTGCCTTAGATGTGAAAACTGACTAGATGAGTTTGGGCCAATCACCAGGAGACAGTGAGTTCTAGATCTGGGCATGAAAGGTAACTGGGTGAGTTTGGGCCAATCACCGGGACACAGTAAGACAGGACTATAATTCACAGTTTCCTGGTGATTAGCCCAAGGTTACCCAGCTGGGTTTCATTCCTAAGGCGGGACTAGAACTCACCATCTTCTGGTTTCTAAGCCACTACACCAAACTAGCTCAACATGTAATTGCTTCTTACTGAAACGGAGCATGTTTAACTAAAGTGTTCGTTTCACTGCATCTCCAATGGCATAAACTCATTACGATCATTTCTAAGGTATTATTTCTTCTTGAAAAGGTTGTCCTGCGTCGAAGCTATTGAAATTGTTGTGTTTTTTTTCTAATTATTTATTCATTAAATAAAATATTGAGGGGAGGGGGCGGAAACCAAAAGAAAATCTTTCCTTGAGAGAGTTGTATTCTGATGCTTCACACCAGTGTTTTTCAAACTTGGCAACGTGAAGACTTTTGAGGACTTCAATTCCCAGAATTCCTTAGCCAGCATGGCTGCCAGAGGAATTCTGGGAGTTGAAGTCCACAAGCCTTAAAGTCATGAAGTTTGAAAAACATTGGGTTTACATGGGGGTGGGTTCTACTTACCTTTACTACCGGTTCGCAACGGGGCCGCACACACTTGCTCACTCGCTCGCACACACACATGCACTTCTACGCATGCACAGAAGCTTCCTGATGACGTTGGAGTCGGTGGGCGGAGCCTCCCGACGGTTTTATTACCGGTTCTTGCAAACCGGTCCGAACCGTGGGCAACCCATCACTGGTTTACATTGCAAGGCAAACTATGCAAAATCTGGAACGTCCTCCCCATCTTCTCTCCTCTCTCCTCTTTTTTTTTGTGGACAGCCCTCTACATCGTCCGTCGCTTCCGACGAGAAGGTCGATTACGTACAGGTGGACAAAGAGAAGACGCAAGCTTTGCAGAGCACGATGCAGGAGTGGACTGACGTCCGGCAGTCGTCTGAGCCCAGCAAGACGGTGAAGCAGTAGCCCAGCAGAGGCGTGGTGGAGAAACCAGGGAGGCTTCTAGTAATCAAGGAGAGAGCATCCGTTTGTCTCCCTTGCTGTGGACCTTCTCTTGGTCCTCTCTGGAGGCTGTTCCAGATAGGTTCTGCTTTTGAAAACAAGCTTCTTCAGGTGAACATTTGACTGAAAACCTGCATCAACCCTCCCAAAGGCATTTTTCGGTTATGGGTTAGCTGCTGGCTCTATCCGGAGGAATTCGGTGAACGAACACTGGCTTCTCATCCACCTGCCCGTATCCAAACTTTCCTCGATCCACTTTCAACCTGCAGAGCTCTGTTTTCGCATCCAGCACTTACCCTTTGCCGGTTTCCTGCTGTTGGTTGGAACTTTCAGCCTGATTTCGGCCTCCCGGTTCCGCCTTTTGGAGATGTTGGTGATGATGATAATAACAATAATAATAATCGAGCTGCTGAGCTATTAACCAGCCTCAAAGGCTGTGAATCTCACTAAGGATTAACCAATAATAATAATAATAATAATAATAATAGCCAGCTACTCACCCTAAGTGGATTTGATCTTCAGCAATCTGTTTACGAGGCTGTCTTAGCTGTTATCGCTTCACAAAAGGGTGAAGAAATCTCCAAGCGATGCCTTTTTTCCCCCCCCTCTCTGCTCTTTATGTAAATTGCCATCGTGCGAATTCCTTAAAGTACGCAATTGTCCTTCCGAGGACGAGCATGTCGAGAAACGATCGCTGTTCACCGGTATAAATCAGCTTTTCGAAATGCATTACTCTGGAACTGAAAATAATTCCTCGTCCGCCACTCTTCCCCTCAACAAGAAAAAAAACAAAATTCTTCCTAATTCTTTTTAAGAATGGGACCCGCTCTGGATGTTTTTGCAATAGTTTCCCCTTTTGTGGGATATATGATATCGGTGTCCGAGATCTTACAATAGTTGAAGCTGCGTTGGGCAGTATTTGGTACCTAGTCTGTGGTGTGTAGGAGAGCATTTGATGTTGGACCCTTAGAACGATGGTTATAAAAGCCTTGATATTTAAAAATCCATCCATTCTGTGTTTCAAGCTGTGTTTGATGCCTGGCTACCTATCTCAAGCACTCCTAATTCGAAGCAAATGTTCATTTTCAAAGTAAGGGGCTCAAGCAATTGGGACACTGGGCAAGACGTTAGCAAAGCCAGCGTTCGAGACCCGAGAGCGTTCGAGACCCGAGGTTGAGCTCCCATCCTTCGCTCCAGCTCCTGCTGGGAACATGAAAGGAAACCCCCCCCAACTGGGCATCTCCAGGGCAACGGTGATGTCACCGGCTAATTCTTCCAACCCGGAAGCGCCTCGGTTGCTTCTGACACGAATGCCAAAAAAAATTAATAATAATTCAAAATGCATCGTTGAATTTGGACTGTCACTGTTTCAAAAGCTGACTGACTCACACAACACATTAACCCAGGGTCAAGTAAAGATGTAGCAGGTGCACTCGTGTATGATGCTAGTACACATTTTGTGTTTGCTTAGATAGGGTTTTCCCGTATGGTTTTAGGACGGAGGTGGGGAATCGTGGCTCCTTCATGGCTTGTGGACTTCGACTCCCAGAGGAATTCTGGGAGTCAAAGTCCACAAGTCATAAAAGGGCCATCGTGTTCCCCACCCCTGGTTTAGAATATTGTGAATTTGGGTGTTGGGAGGATAGGATTTCTGGCTCCGTGTGATTTGTGAATTAGACGACGGCTGAGTTCGGCTCAGGAGTGGGATTCAGCCGGTTCGGCTTTGTTAAACCGGCAGGATCCCACCACTGGTTCGGCTTTCAGAGTACTGTGTGAATGTCTAAGGTTTATGTTACTATAAGGCTGAGGCTGAGGGAAAGAGACATAGCCCTGAGCAACAAATTTCTATTTTACTGTTATTCTGCAATACAGATAGTCCTCGACTTATGACCACAGTTGACCCCAACATTTCCCCTGCTTGGCAATACAGTTGCTAAATGAGTTTTTGCTCCATTTCATGACCTTACTTCCCACCGTCGTTAAGTGAATCACTCCAGTTGTTAAATTAGTAACCTGGTTGTTTAAGTGAATCTGGCTTCCCCCATTGGCTTTGCTCGCCAGCAGGTCGCAAAAGGAGATCGTGTGACCCCCGGGGACACTGCGACCATCATAAATACGAGCCCATTGCCAAGTATTCCGAATTTTGATCACGTGAGCAGGGAGAAGCTGCAATGGTCGTAAGTGTGGAAAACAGTCATCGGTCCCTATTTTCAGTGCGAAGTTGTAACTTCGAATGGTCACTAAACGAACGGTCGTAACTCGAGGACTGCCTGAATCCTTTGTGGCTGCTTTCTGTTAATTCCTTATCCAAGGAAGTTTCCACAAGTTCATTATTCAATGCCCTAATTTTGCATCTGTCTGTAAGAATCAAATTACTTGATATTTGCTTATTGGTTAGATTAAGATCTGTTTGGGGGAACCGAATATATACTGTTGTCACTTGCGGCTTGTTCAACGACTTTCCTGCATTGGAGATCTGTTGGCCATCTCATTCAGACATGCACTTTAGAGAGAGTTTGTAAAAAAAAAAAAAAAAAAACCCAAAATTTTGCTTTGCTTTATCGATATACACAAGGGCAAACCTCAGTTCATAAACCCACTTCCTGTCTTACAGCTTGCATCCGTAAGGATTGATGGTGCAATCCTAAACAACCTATGCAGGTTTAATCCAAGGTGCTTTCCCCCACCACAGAAGTGATCTTAGGCCTTTCCTCTCGAGCGCCTGCCGTTTTTTTCCCCTCCTCTCTCTCTCTCTCTTTGCAGAGGCCTGAGTTCGAATTCCGCTGGTTTTACCAAGGAAAAACCCTCTGTGCCAGGTTCACACAACCTTTCCTGAGCTAAACTGTGTCTGGCCACTTTCCCGGCTCGAGGCATACTTCGGTGAGCTTTGCGAGTTCCAACCACAAGATTCATTCTCATACCCCACCGTTCGGCTAACCACTATTTGCTGATTCATGGAAACCTAGCCTACAGGATACAGTTTGTGTCCTGATTTTGTGACTGTTAAAATCATTCTACCTTGACGAAAATATTTGTCTTAAAGCCTGTGTAGCTCGCTCTGTTAATTCCACGTAGGCCAAGGGGCAGTTTTTCCTCTACAGCATCATATGATTCAGCTTTTTGAAAATGAAAGATGTTTGCAGAGTTAGGACAGAACATCTTGAGTTTCTGCATTTGATTTCCAATTTCAGATAATAAAAATGTGTCTCTTGTCCATAAAGGTTCTTGTAGGTAGGAATAAGGACGATGTCTAGTGGTGGGCTGTTGCCAGCTCAGACCGGTTCGGGCGAACCTGTAGTTCCAACCAGGGCTGGCCCCGCTCACCCGCCCTGGCGCTATCACTTCCTATATCCGTGATGCGAACCTATGGCACACGTGCCACAGGTGGCACGCGGAGCCATATTAGTGGGCACACCAGCTCAGCTCTGGGGTGCATGCCACGCCGGCCAGCTGATTTTCGGGCCTTCTGGGCCCATCAGAAGTAGGGAAACAGGCTGTTTCCTGCCTCTGGAGGGCCTGGGGGGGTGGGAAAGGCCCGTTTTTCTTTCTTACCTGGCTCCAGATCCTTTCTATGCATCTGGGAAGGGTGAAAACAGCCTTTCCCACTCCCTTGGAGGCCCTACGGAGGCTGAAAGGGCCCATTTCCCGACTCCCGGTGGGACAGGAAGTAACTTTTTTCCTGTCCCCAGCCTCCAGAGATCCTAGAGAGGCTCCTAGAGACTCCTAGAGAGACTCCTAGAGAGGTTCTGGAGGCTGGGGACAGCAAAAAATGTCACTTCCTGTCCCACCGAGAGTTGGGAAATGGACCCTTTCAGCCTCCGTAGGGCCTCCAAGGGAGTGGGAAAGGCTGTTTTTGCCCTTCCCAGATGCATAGAGAGGATCTGGAACCAGGTAAGAAAGAAAAACGGGCCTACCAGGCCATCATGTGCCAGGAGCAGGGGTGGGTGGGGTTGCATGCACATGCACGTGGGCACGTGCGCGTGTGACCCTCTCCCGCCCCCCTCTCCTGGCACGCGATGGCAAAAAGGTTATCCATCGCTGTCCTATATAATCGCCGGTTTTCCAATGCTGCGGATCGCAAATGTGTGTGCGCGCAGGGCAGTGGTGGTTTTCAAAAAATTTTTACTACCGGTTCTGTGGGTGTGGCTTGGGCATGGCATGGCTTGGTGGGTGTGGCAGGGGAAGGATGCTGTAAAATCTCCATTCCCACCCCACTCCAGGGGAAGGATACTGCAAAATCCCCATTTCCTCCCAATCAGCTGGGACCCGGGAGGCAGAGAATAGATGGAGGCGGGGCCAGTCAGAGGTGGTATTTACCAGTTCTCCAAACTACTCAGAATTTCCACTGCCAGTTATCTGAACTATTCAGAATTTCCGCTACCGGTTCTCTAGAACTGGTCAGGCGCCGCAACCTATTTGCCGGAATCGGATAGAACCGTCTGAATACCATCACTGCTGTGCACACAAGCTCACATTTTCTGTTCCGGGCGAACTGGTTGGTACAAGGGCAGCAGCCCACCCCCGGCGACGTCTCTTTTGAGATCCACTCTTTAAATCAGATTTCAAATTTCCCAACCTTGCTAATTCCCAAGTATGCAAAACTTGAAAGCCCAGAATTCCACAGCCAATATGGCCGTCGATGAGAATTCTGGGAGTTGAAGTCCATGTCAGTCCTGGAGGCCATCTTTTTCTTTGGATCTTCAGGGCTGCCAAATTCGGGAGTGTTACTTGGAACCCTGGCAGTCCGTACATCTGGAAGTTGCCAAAGTTATGAAATGCTGCTTTAGACCCTCATTCATTACTGAAATCCATGAGATAAATAATGAATTGAAGATCAGGGGTGTCGTTTTAGGCAGAGAGAGGGAAAAAAATAACCAGAGAATTTTGCAGTATCTAAGAATCCTCTTACAAGTTAGGGGGCTTCAATCTTGGCCACTTTAAGATTTGTGGACTTCAACTCCCAGAATTCCTCAGTCAGCCATGCAACTTTAAGACTTGTGGACTTCAGCTCCCAGAATTCCTCAGCCAGCCTTGGAACTTTAAGACTTGTGGACTTCAACTCCCAGAATTCCTCAGCCAGCCATGCAACTTTAAGACTTGTGGACTTCAACTCCCAGAATTCCTCAGTCAGCCATGCAACTTTAAGACTTGTGGACTTCAACTCCCAGAATTCCTCAGTCAGCCTTGCAACTTTAAGACTTGTGGACTTCAACTCCCAGAATTCCTCAGCCAGCCATGCTGGTTGGGGAATTCTGGGAGTTGAAGTCCACAAGTCTTAAAAAGTTGAAAGCCCTACACAAGATTACTTACTAAATGTTCAAATTTTCCTCTAAGTTACTCTCACCTTAACCCAGAGATTCTTAAACATTGCGGTGCCATCATCCCAGAAAAATAAACTTAAGTGAACTTCTCCTATATATATAAAATAAATTATTTGATTGGGGTTAAGGCTGGGCAAGAAATAAATAGATCAATTTTAATCATTAGGTTTTATGACACCAAATAGAACAAGGAGAGGGACTTAAGGGCCAGCTTGACTCCTGACAACCTCATGGACACATTGATTTCCTCGTGGTGCCCCATCCAGGTCTGATTTGACTTAACTTCTGACCCCCACATAAAATCAATACTGCCGTCTCTGAAACGCTGATACAAGAGTACAACGATATAAAATACAGGTAGTCCTTTACTTACCACCACAATTGAGCCCAAAATTTCCATCGCTAAGCAATATAGTAGTTAAATGAGCCACAGTTCTTCTTGCCACAGTTGTTAAGTGAATCACTGAAGTTCTTAAGTTAGTAATAAGTTAAGCAAATCTGGCTGCCCCGATGATTTTGCTTGTCAGAAGGTCGTAAAAAGAGGATCACATGACCCCGGGATACTGAAATCCTCCTGAATACATGCCAGCTGCCAAGCATCTGAATTCTGATCACGTGACCACAGGGATTCTGCAACGGTCGTTAAGTGTGAAAAATTGTGATAAGTCGCATTTTTTTTCCAGGG